GAGAGAACATTAGTTGGAAAATTGGGGGCAGGAAGAATTTTGTGTAAGATCTACATGGACTTTTTTTTAATCAAAATCTAAAGTTTTAGGGGAAGATTGATGCTAGAGATATTTATTTGGGATCATTAGCATATAGAGAGTAACCGAAGCCATGGGAGTAAATAGTGTCACCCAGGAAAACTTGCCAAGTGCAAAGGGAAGAGGTTGAAGCCAGAACTCTGGAGGACACCAGAAGAAAATACTTTTTGTTTTGTTTTGTGTGATGGTTGTTTATCGATACATTCTAGGAGCAGCAGTAAAGAATTTTCAGAATGTTTTAGCACATCATAAGATATAATCTAAATCCTCTAGGAGGAAGGGGACTCCATTAAAAATTTATATGAAAAAAGACATTTCTGACCAGTTCCCAGGACTGTGAAAAAGAAAAAAAAATATATATATATATATAAATATATATAAAAGCCTTCCTCCACCCTTCCTCTGTGGACTGGCATATGGAATAGAGAAGTCTTTTCCTTTCCAGCCTCACTGCCAGATGGTAAAATATTACCCAAGTATTTCGTGTCTGTTTGGAATCAAGTTATGAAGAAAGGAGCTGCTCTCCTAGAAATATTGATTTTGTCATTAAGAGTAAAACACTCTTTTTCTGATTGTTTAGTTTGGGGAATGAGGTATGTTGAGAGAGTTGTGGGAGTTGCTCTAATATAAAAACAAAACTACTGACAATGGCAAAACAGTGGCACATCCTCTGGGAAATGGTGGAGCCTATTCCTTTATAGAATATTTCAGTTGAGTTTTGCAAATTCATCTAGTTTTTGCCATTATTCCACTTAATTAGAAAGAAACAAGTCATTGTTGTCAGTTCTTTCTCAATTCCTTGGTTGAAGAATTGAGCAGAGACATGGGAATTATCATTCTTGAACCCCTATCCTAGGTTTAGTGATTTTCTTCATAGAATTAGAGGTTACTCAATCCCTAGCCAATCTTACCGCATGCACAGGGATGCATTGGAATTTGAAAGAATAATTAGATGTGCATGGAATATAAAATCTAACATATATCTGTGTACAGCTAAAAGAACTTTTACTGTTTTTGGAAACTGAAATGGTTTTCTAGTGAAATGCATTTACTCCTGGACTCATGGCATATTTCCCATATTGACAATGCAGATGGCTGTAGGCACTTGTGGTTGGGGTCATGTTGAGTGCCTGTAGGACATCTTTATGCCTAGTGTGGAATGGGATAGCCCCAGATCTGAAACCTGTGGACAAATGTGAGCTGGAGATCAAATCTTGTGAGAAATCACCTATGGATGACATTAAAACATGGCATCAGCCACAGTTACCTATACCCATTTGAGAAAGCCCTGGTTTGACTTTATAACCCTAGACAAAACCAACAGCTAAGGGGCAGATGGGGGAATATCCCAGGAGACCAAGCCAGTCCTGTTCACTTTTCTATGTCTGAGAAGTCAAAGGAGTAAATTTAAAAGAAGGGGAGTAGCCAACAGTGTCCATTGCAGCTTTGAGAACTATTAAGTAAGACCTGAAGGGTGTCCATTGGTTGATGCTAAACAACTAGTCTGTTTAGGACAGATGTTGGAAGCATTATCACATGATTTATTTTGTGCTCCTGCCAGAGGGTAGAACCAGGCTCAGGGTGGCAGCCGATGTTGGATCGCCATCTTATAGAGATAAAGTAAAGGAATTCTTTCATTGGGTAAAAAGTTAATTATGAAGCTTAACTCTTCTGGAAATCTAAGATTCTTCTGTGCTAGCTAGTATCAAGGTTGCCCAACTTTGAATAATTGGCAATAGGGTTTGAACAGCAGGATTTTTTACTCTCCTCTAGGGTTTCTCATGAGTTAGAAATGGTAACCTGTTAAAGTGGGTTACTCTGATTTGTTCTGTAAGCCATTTTAGATGTCCATAGGAACACACACCGTTTTGTATGCACACGCTCAGCCTAAATAGCAGCGTGCAAATAACCTGTACTCATCTGTTTAGCATTTCACTTTGCTTTTTGACTTTTAATTCAAACTAAACATTAGTATAAGAAGTTTTGATAATAACCCATGAACTTCATCCTTTTTAAAAGGTAGTGTAGCGCTCTCTTCCTGTAGTGTAACCATAGCAACTGACAAGGAACAGAGAAAGAAAGCTTTCACACACGCTGTGCTAATTAATCCTGTCCTACAGTTTTCCTTCAGCTGGAGGATGCAGTTTAATAAATTCTGCATGAGTAAGTATGTTTTGATGCATGACTGTAAATACATGGCAATATCTTTACCAAAAATATTTATTAAAAATATAGTTATATATTCCTACTTCAAGGTATACTCTTTTTTTTTGATTCATTGCTTTAATAATTTGTTCCCTCCCTGAAAAATTTTGGGATCTAAATATCTTTTTAACTGAACGGACATATTTTTAAGATGAAAGCCTTTTGTTTGTCACCATATAGGACACCTTCCACAAGAAAATGTCTTAATTGACTATATTGAAGTGAGGTGATAGAAGAGTTTTTCTCAAGCGATGCAAAGGAGTATGTCTTAAAAATATAGTAACATTCTTCAATATGACACATTAACATGCAAACCATTTTAAGAAACTGCCTTAGCACGTTAAAAAGTTAGATATTGCAAACTCATTTTCACTCTTGATTTGGCAAGTTATATGACCCATATCAGTGGTGTTTGGGTAGTCCCTTGACCTAAACGTGTGGGAAGGAGGAGAATAATGGAAACAAAGAGCTTTTCCTTTTCATATTTTTCAGACATATTTAACCACTTTTACAAACTTATTTTCAGAGTAAATGTACTTGACCTGAAGTCACATAATTATTTAGATTTATACTATTTCTAGGTTATTTTGAAGTCTTGTTCTCTCTTTAAAACTGGAAATACCACAGTTTTCTTTAACTAGCCTGGTCTTCTAAGCTGTTAAAGAAAATCTCAGAGCTTTTTCATTCTCCTATTCCTCTAGCCTAGCTTTCTGTCAACAGGGCCTCAGAAAAACCAAGAGGATCCAGCCTGAATGTTTTTGGCATCCCATTTCACATGACAAGAGCATATGGAACGAGTCAGAACCTATTTCAAGGACTTGTACTTAGCTCTTTGGTCTCTGTATAGAAACGTGCTCATTTGAGGAACTAAATCTTTTTATTTTATTTTATTTTATTTTATTTTATTTTATTTTATTTTATTTTGTTATGTTAGTTGCCATACATCATTAGTTTTTGATGTAGTGATCCATGATTCCTTGTTCATTGTAACTAAATCTTTTGATGGGATTATTAAATTCTGGAAACACTTTACCATCCTGAATGTCCTATCTGTTCAGTTTTACCTGAATTTAGGTAGGTTAAAACGTTGTAGAGAAAAGTAGGGTTACTATGGAAATCTATTATTAAATAGTTATTCCATTCATGTGCAGAAAAGTAGGGTACCATATATATGTACATATGTTTGTGTATAGTCTGTACATATTAATATAGAATACTTATCAACATTAACCAATTTATAATATACCATTGTATTGTTATAAAAACTGAATTGTAGAAAAAATTGAGTTACTGTAACCATAGCTAAATTAATTAGAAATTATTTGTCTCATCAGCTGTCCTATTAATTTTAACATTTTCATATAATACAGTAAAGGGAATATCAAGTGTTTAATAAACAGGAGAAAAATCATGTTCCTAAGTAGTACATAAAAATATACATAATCAACATTAAAATGAATATGTAATGGTACATTTATTGTAAAAATGTTATATGTGCTTTGAGCCTCACAGTGATAAATAATACTTTTCACTTGTTATATTAATGAACATACCCAGATAGAAAGCTATCACACGGATTTTTTTTCTTTTGAAAAAGAACATCTACAGATTTTGTGATTTTTTAAAAGGAATTATATATTCATTGTAGAAAACTTGGGAACAAAACCTTGAAAAATGTATTAAGTAAAGAAAAAAAACTGGAGGGGCGCCAGGGTGGCTCAGTCAGTTAGGCATCCAAGTTTTAATTTTGGCTCAGGTCATGATCTCAGCGTCATGAGATCAAGCCTTGTATTGTGTTCACGCTGGGCGTGGAGCCTGCTTAAGACTCTCTCTCTCCCTCTTCCTCTGCCCACCCCCCCCCAATAACAACAACAGCAACAAAAGAAAAGCCCAAAACTAGATAATCCCATTTTCCAGAGCTAACCACTAAACAGATAGTTTCTGCCAATCTTTTTTCTATGCTAAAGTATTTATGGTTATGAGGTCAAACTGCACATAATCCTTCACTTAATATATTACTGTGACCATTTTCTCAATTTCTAAAATTCTTGGAAAACATTTCAGTTTATTCTATGGTATCTCGTCATCTCTATGTTCCAAATTTAACTATTCCTTTATAGTTATTTATATAGGTGGCTTTCAAATGAGTTTCCTGAAGATTTCCCAGTAAGTATTTGTCAGAACACTGAAAGAAAAAGTAGTTTTGGGACAACCCTTTGAGAAAAACCTCATATTTTCTTCTTTCAGATTCATAATATATATTAGAAAAATCAAGGGCACTAAGAAGTTTCAAAGTATGAAGACCTGTTTTAACTTTCTAAACCATCTTTTCCCAAAATCATTTGACCTTGGAATCTTTTCTCCTAATACTTATAACCCATAGCACTAGGGTTCCATGAAACATTCTTCAGGAAGTTCGGGAGATTTCTAAGCTTCTGTGTAATGTCTAATAGTTTATGAATTGTTTGTAACTTTCCTGGGATTTTATCAGATTTATGATGCTTGATTAGGAAATATAAGTGACTATTGGTTGTTAGCATTATTTGAAACAGGTGGCAGTATACTTTCCCCAGCCTTTCTAGTAATATTGACAATGCATTTGTGATTCTGTATTACAATGTCATGTTTGACCTTTTTAAAACTGTGAGCTTTCAAATTTAAATTTTCTTGTTCTATTAATGCCTATTAAACTTCTTTGTGTTTCCTTTAATCCACAGGTCTTGCAAGAGCAAAATCTGTCCCTAGCCACACATACTCCAATGAAGTGGTTACCTTGTGGTACAGACCTCCAGATGTCCTCCTGGGCTCGACAGAATATTCCACCTGCCTTGACATGTGGTGAGAAATGGAAGATTTACTCTAGCTAATTTATCTGTAATGTGTGGTCTGGGTCATGCCTAGACAAACATTCTAACAGTTTGAATGAAGATTAATGGTGCAGGAGTGTTTGCCTGTGTGTGGTAGGATTGCTGGTTAAAAAAAAAAAAAAAAAAAACGTGATTGGGAATATTCCCTAATCAGAGGCTCCCTTGCAGATGGTGTCTGGTAATGGTTCTTGATGGACAGGGGCAGAGATATTTTTCTGTCAGTACAGTGATTTTTCTCCCTGAGGGTCTTAATTTGTAGCTCTGTTTTATAACAAGGAGGCGTGTATCTCCAAACAGTAGTATGGGTTGGAAATAGAGGAAGTGTGTTTCAATTCAACAACAAAGCTCAGATTAAGTGGCCTGAAAATTTTGGTGTTACTGTTAGTCACTAAATTTGGTGTAGTACACTCTTGAGAACTTGGTACAAATTATCTAAAATGAAACAAAACAATGACTTTTTAAAAATATCACAGTAAGTTTAATTTCGGTAGAGTCTCAGTTTCACACGATGGTTTGGCAAAATTTAAAAACCTGTTTAGGAGGCCCAAAGACTGACAAGATTTAATGCATAATTATTATTAATTATAAGATATAATGAATTCCCGGGGTACCTGGGTGGCTCAGTTGGTTAAAAGTCTGCCTTTGGCTCAGGTCATGATCCCGAGGTCCTTGTGTTGGGTTCCCTGCTCAGCGGTGAGTCTGCTTCTTTCTCTCCCTCTCCCCTTCCCCCCCGCCACACACACACTTGTGCTCCCTCTCTCTCTCTCTACTAAATAATTTTTTAAAAAAAAATCTTGAAGTATGAAGTTATAATGAGTTTCCAATCCAGTGTGATCTAAATCAAATAATCAAATAAGGGAATAATCTTATTTTTAGTAGTCAGGAAAGTCTTCCTAGAGACTTAAAAATGTCCTCTATTAATAGAAAAATCCCTTTTCTAGACCCACAGTTGTATTCAAAGTAAAATGATTCACATTGCACTTGTGCTATTTTATCATAGGAATCTTTTTCCATGAATGATTTTGCCCCCATATATGAAATTCAGTTACATGTTCTTACAATGTTTATGACCTCAGTAAAACTTTAGCATGTGTTATGTATCTTCCTGCCATGTACTTACCTCACTGTTCTTCCCTCAGTAATCTTGGCTTTTAGTAAATTAGGCTGTAATGAGGCCTGGCATCTTTCCTGATGTTTTTGATCCAAACATTTTACAAGTAAGAAAACAATCAAGTTCCTTGTGATGTAGGGCACAGTGTAGATTTTCTTAATTAGGCTCCAACAAACCCCCCATCACCAGGAGTAGGATTTCAGGATCTGTAAGGCCACTGAAAATATATGCAACATTTATGTACCCATGGATATATTTATTTTTATGGGGTGTAGATCTGTAGCTTTCAATAGAGCTATAAAAGAATCTGGGTCATCAAACGGCCTAAAATCTATTGTCATAAATTTTATAATGCCCTCATAATAAATCTAATACCAAGGTAATGCATATTCCAAAACACTGAGAATAAAGATGACCATCTATCATTAAGAAGCTAAGCCAATTCATTTTTCCATTACTCTTTTTGGCTTTTTTTAAAGATGGTTGTTGACACAATTAAATTTTTTTTTTCCTAAGAGTAAGCAGAGGCTTGGGCAAAAGAGGTATTTTGATCCTTAGTCATAATGGAGGAAAAGGTTAGAAATAAGGGTCCGTTATCAGGATATCAGTTACTACCTTTCTCATTCCCTACTTCCTTCCTGCCTTACAGTTGTGAGTTGGCTATACAAATAATCATTAGTTAATATTCTTGAGTTATGGAGTGTTTTTATTTTTTGAGTATGAAAATTCTAGGTTGTCTTTTAGTGAGGTCAGTTAAGGACTCTGCTAATAGAACATAGTTTGGAAATATTTGTGACTTGGAGACAGTTTTGTCTTAGTGCTTGGCAGTTAAGTCTCTACACTCATAATCGGAAGAAGCTGTTTTTTATACATTAGTGGCTAATTTTTTCCAAACCTTTAAAAGTGCTCTTTAACGTACAAAGAACCACATGGACTTTGACTTGCTGATATGCCTGTTTCTGATATATGGTATTTGATTTCCGCCCACCCACCCTTTTTTTCTTTCACGTGTGTCTGCGCGCGTGTGCACACGTGTGTGTGTGTTCATCCTCTTGAAGAAGGCTTAGGTTCTTTCTGCCTATTTGCTTTAAACAGAGACATAATGAAGCATAAGAAGACTGTTATTTAAGTGGAAGGTAGGAAAACTGATACAAAATAGACCCCGAATGCCCTTTTGTCTGCATGCCAAGATTATTCATTGCCAAAACCAAATAGTAAATGTGTTGTGTTTGAGCAGTTCCCATGCTTATTGGCTTTCCATTTTCAAGCCCTAAAGTCTGAGTTATGTCTATGCCATTCCTGTCATTCTGACTCTGATTTCATTCCAAGCCATTTTCTAAAAGCCATTTTGTTATTATTCTATAAGTCTGAGAAAATGTTTGTATTTTTCCAGTTAGAAGTTCACAGGCACTGATTTTTGCATAATCAATGACATAGATGCTGGGTATTCACAGAACTAGATATGGGACTATAATTGAGTCATGGCTCAGCTGCACCAAAGAGAAGTGCAAATATGAATGCATGGACAATAGTGGGGAGGCAGGTGGTAGTGGGTTCAGGCTATTTTTACAGTTCATTTACCATCCTGGGGCAGTAGGGTAGTAACTAAAAATTAACGATCCCTACACAGTGTTACATTTCCCAGTTTTCTGTTTAAATAGCCACAGGCAATAAAAATATTAATGAAGACACATATGCATTAACGTTGGCAGCAAGTGATGGAAAATCAGAGCTTGCCGTGTGATGATTTACTGCTCTAGGTCTCCAGCACTGTGGCAGTATGGAAATATATGTGCAGTTCGAGAACTCAGCAGGAAATGTAGGTTTTTGATACCTTTGTCTCCCTCCGTGAAGGAGGATTTAAGCAGAGGAATCCAACTGGACATTGTCTCACGTATAACTTCTCTTAATTCTTGGATTTTATAACTCTTTGAAAGTCAAGGCGTAGGAAATCATCTTTAAGCTTCGAAACCAAAAGGCTTATGAAGGACTGAGAACCACATTATGAGAAGTGCCAATGTGAAAAGCAGCTTATCTGTGTAGTTCCTCCCCCGTCAGGGAGTTCTGCTCTAGCTGTCGAGGTCATTGCTCTAAATGAGCTTTAGGTTTCTGTATAGAAGCTCAGAAATATGTTTAGAGTGGCGTTTGTTTTCTCAAGCGGAAGGTCACTTGGGATTATTTTAAGGGATTAATTTGTAACATATGGTAACTAATGTAGCTAATAAATAATAGTATCTCATCAACATCACAGTGCTTCTGGGGGCCACGCTGTGTCGTGGCCCTACCTTGTGGCATCAGTGACAGTGCTCCCCAACACGAAGTATGAAGAATGAGAGCGCACAAGTCTCTTCCTTTCATCATCTTTTTAAAAGCTAATTAACATATTAACTATGCTTGTCAAAATGTGGGGCAAATCATTTATAAATAAGCCTGTCAAATGTAATGAGATGCATACTAAATCATCCTTTTCTCTATTATGTCTCTGATTTAAGATTAAAATTAATTTTTTTAACATTGTAGCAGCTGGATGGTGAGAAAAAGATTTCCATACCGGTCTTGACATATAGAAAAATGTCTGCTTCTAAATTGATTTTGCATATATCAGAAAAGAAATTACCTATTTATTGAGTATTATAAGGCCATTTAGCATTGATTTTTATTAAATAAGACTAATCACCATACATATTGGCAATGTATGGAGTTCTGCCATCATCCTTAATGACCACTCCTGAACCAAGGAAATTTACGTAATAAAATAAGATTTCCTAGGACTCCGGTTTGTTTACCACTGTTTTAAGGGAGAGAATCGTAAATGAGTTCTACTATAGCCCCACCCTGAATATAAATTTGTTCTATATGAGGTCCTGTCTTGAGTAACTGAGTGACAGTAATGATAGTAATGGAGTCTTAAGAAATAGTAATCATAATAGTAACAATAATAGATATCTTATTGGACACAAACTGGATTCTAAGTTTCTCTTATGCATTTTTGTCTTATATATTTTAATTACTATCCTACTGTACCATGATACAGTGGAAGAAAACAGAACACAGAGAGACTAAATAAGATAGTAAAGTTCATTTAGTTAGTAAATAGAGATAACATGCAACTTTAGGGCTAACTCACTGCAAAGCCCTTTCTTTTTACACCATATTACATAATCTCTTCTTAAGATAATTTCTAAGAAATTGGTTTTTATTTTACTGGTAAAGTGATTCTAAAACACAAATACGGTAAAATCCCATTTTTATAGTTTAGGTTATGCTCTGAATCATTTTGGATCCTTTACGTGCTTTGAATAAAGTAGGTGGCCTTCACTGTCAGTCAGCTGGTTTATGGACTGCCTTTCTCCACTCATGTCAGTGTTCTGTATCATATAGTTTTATTCAAGGAGGAATTTCTTTGAAATAAACTTATGATGTGAATCACTGGATTGAATGCATTTTCATGAGACCAATATCGATGCTGGCATGTATATTCCCAACTCTTAACCATTACTCACTCACCACTGCTGCTAAAATGAATGAATCCATTTAAAAAAGAATGGTAGAGGGGCACCTAGGTGGTGCAGTCAGTTGGGTGTCCGGCTCAGGATGTGATCTCAGGGTCATGATCTCAGGGTCCTGAGATTGAGCCCTGCATCCAGCTCCATACTCAGTGTGGAGTCTACTGAAGTCTCTCTCTCCCTCTCCCTTTGTCCCTCCCTACCACTCTCTCTTTCTCCTTCTCTCTCTCTGACAAATAAATCTTTAAGAAAATAAAAATGAATAAAAAAGAATGGTAGAAGAATGAGAATTTGAGTTCAGGAGCTACCTAAAGTCATCTATCTGTCAACATTATTTACACATTTTCTTATTAA